AAGTTTGCATCACACACCCTCCTGTCCTGGCAAGGAAAATCTGACATTAAAGGGAGAAGAATCAGGGATATGCAGAAATGGCACCAGTCATTGGCCTGTTTCCCACTCATAAGCCACAGAGAAAAGCAGCTCCAGCTCAGAGAAGGAGCTGGCTGCCTATACTGTGCCAGGTGACATTTTTCTCCCCCAGGCTTCTGGTACTGAAAGACATTCATATATTTACAACCTTTCTTAAGGTCATCTCTGCTGTGTCTCCAGCTGAGCCATTAAATATTAATTGGACTACTTTCCAAAAATAAAAAGCAGAACCTCTAATTTACTTGTGTAATTAACACCTCCCACAAAACAGGTGTCCTCCTGAACCAGACTGAGCAAGCCATTTGCTCTTCACAATACTGAAATATGCTATGTGCTTTTGAGACAGACAAGCAGTTGCCTGTTCATTCCACGTGCACGTCATTATTTGGGGGAAAAAGTACCTCAAATACAACAGAAAATATGCCTTCTAGGTGATACAGTCAAACCTTCCCACTCACACTAGATAGATTTTTTTTTTTTTTTTAACGCATTCTACATAGAAGGTCTTGAGTATCTTGTTATAGTGTTGGTTTGGGGGTTTTTGTTTTGTTTTGTTTTGTTTTTCAATAAGGCTCAGTGCTGCTAAATTTATCAAAGAGCTCAAATTTTAACCCACAGTTGTAAAGAGCATGATCAATCTCTGGTCATATGCAAGCACTTGCATTAAGAAACTTGGATTGTCACTTAAAATCACAGAGCCGTTAAAGTTGGAAATTACTTTTGAGATCATAGACTCCAGCTGTAAACATATTTAACCATGTAACAAGCCTAACATTGCAATTAGCTCTGAAATTTAAGTTCAATACCAGCATTACTCATGTTAAGACAAGGTAAATATGTATTCAGTAATCACTGAGCTGCACAGATTATTTGCAGAGGTTTATTAGATGCTCATTTACCCAGATGAATAACACGCCTGCTCTTCAGTGAGGCTAAGGAATTTGTGGAGAGAAAATTCACAGGTCCTTAGTGCTCAGCTGCCATTTAAGCTCAGAGGCACTAAAGTTCTCTTCCAAGAAAACTAGTTTTGTAGTGAAGCACATCCATCCTGTCAGGATTGAGCAGGCTGGAAGCCAGCTCATACCTAAACCTTTTGGGAATCTGTAGTCTAAGCAATACTTTGACTTCATTGCCTCAGAAACTCAGTCTGTCAGTCTTAGAGCTTACCTGGGAAAAAAAAAAAGACTTTATTTTCTTCTTGAAAAGGTGACCCTCTTTTTCATAAACGAGCATCAGAGCACTCACCTATGAAGTGAGGCAGTGAGGCTCACAGACTCAATTTCTTCCTCTGAAAAGGCAGATTCAAAATGCCATCCTGGATCTCACCTGAAAATATCCAAATCATCAGACTTGGAAATATTTTGGTGAAAGTGCATTAAGAATTAAAATTTAATGTCTCCTCAGTTGCACGGACTAAAGGTTTGTTGTGCTGCAGAGTTTTTGCCCTGACTGCCATTAGGTGGAGGATGTCATTCAGGGGAGATGCAGTTCTCAGCTCCAGTCTGCACACAAAATACAAGTTTGGAGGAGAGGAGTTTATGAATTTGAATTGTAAAGAGAAGCTGGAAAGAAACAGCCCAGGAACTTTTGGGGGGCCCTACAGCTCTGAAAAAATTTCTCATGCACACTCTTCTATCAACTTGCCATCCTTTCCCCTCAGCAGCCACAGGTGTGACAGCACCTCCTGCTAAGGAAATCACAGTTTCAGGCAGTTCCTGCTGACCCCTGTGGCATTCCCACCTCCACAACACACCTGCTGAGTATTTGCCAGTCTCTTGTCTCTTAGCAAAGGCACCCCAGGCCCTTGGGCAGGAAATCCAGATGAAGTTTCCCAGAGCATTACCTTTGAGTTGGCAAGAAGCCACTTTGGATACCACACTGCAGCTTTGTTGGAAATCTTCTGATCCAAACTAAACCCTGCTCTCAGGACTGTGTACCCGGTTTTATCTAAAATGTCAATATGTCAGTAAGAGGGAGCCCACAGCCTCTGGTAAATGTTCCCATCATATGTGTAGTACTAAATCCTTGGATACCTCTTGTGGCATTCCAGAATAATGGGGCAGAGTGTGGTTTCCCCAGCTCCTCCTGTCCCTGAATAACCCACAGCATGGTGAATGAAGCACAAACCTAATGAGCTCTGCCTGTGACAGGAAGCCAAGGGAATGAAAGCAGGACCTCTCACTGAATGTTTCCTGATTTGTTAGAAAAGTAGAGCAAGACCTTCTCTGGTGGGGAGTGGGTGATGAGAAGAAGAGAGAAAGGAAAAATTTACCTGAATACTGAGCAGGGAGAGGTGCTTTTTGGTAATGTTAAACAAGGCTGTTAAGCTTCACTGCAAATCAGGAGAGAGCACGACAGGTCTCCTTGCCTTTCCTTAGTTTCTGGTCTGCAGCACTGTAGATCTTGGCTTCCTAATTCCATGTGGAGATGAAATCTAAAAGATGTTCTGCAACACTTAGTGCAGGCTCATTTTTTTTCCATCTAGACCTGAGCACCTCCAGAAATATTCAATGCTTAGTGAGGTTGAATGCTATTGTAAAGTGTACACCCTCAACTGGCATATGTAAATGTCATTAATTAACCTAATAGCAGAGGTAGCATTTAACTATGTTCTGTTTTATACCTTTAAAATGTGGCTTGTAGCTTATTAGCTTTAGAAGTTTGTTACTGTAATAGCTTTAAAGTTTATTATTTTTTTCTCTCTACCATTTTCTCTAATAATAACACTTTATTTCGTTGAAGGTGACAATTTAATATGCTTAACTGTACATAACACATTCCTTTCCCAAAGTGACGACCATTTTGTTTAGGAAACCAAGGGTAAACTAACAACTGTAGGTATCATTAAGCTCATTTTTATTCATGGCTAGCTACTGTAGGCTATTAAAACTTTTTGGCACAAAACTGACTAAAAAAATACTGAAAATTTAGCATCCCTCCCACTCCCCACAGAGTTATCAGGTCCTTATGTTGCAGCTGAAATGAGAGACTGAAACATCAGGTTTTTCTAGCAGCATGGAAGAGGAGGAGGCATGGGGAGACAAGAAGACATTTAAACTAAAAAGATTCCACAGACAACTTTTTTTTTTTTTTTCTGAAATGCTGTATTTACACAAAATTGAAGAGAGTACAAATACTTTACTAAGAAGACAAAACCATTATAGTACATTCAATTTAAACACAGGCAGAACTATAGATGCAAAGCACAGAGGCCTAAGGTACTTGCATGGGGGAAAGAAGAAGAAAAAAAAGAAAAAGAGCATCATAAAGGTCCCAGAGATTAAAAGCAGGAGGTAAGAGAACACTGTATTTGTTAGGCAGCAGCATCTTTCCTTGACTTCAGTGGGATTGAACAAGACACTCTCCTTCCTCACTGTGGATGGTGGGAAAAACCCTCTCAATGTGCTGACAGCTCAACACTGATTTTGCAAAACTGTTGAGTGTGTACTTAATTTTCAGCATGGAAATAGAACTGTTAGCTTCAAAGAAAATTATATTTGTGCCTAATCACATGCCTATATACTTAGTTTGACCAGAAATAGCCTTCTCAATGCTTTTTAGGGTCAAGTGCATTGTTACATAAAAATAAGAGTACTTTACTGTCATCTTTCTTTCAATTTTTCTTAAAATATACTTTAGAATTGCTTTTTTTTCTCCTTATGTACTCAATTAGAAAATAGCAGTTTATTGAATGCCATAGAATTCTTAAATTTTAATAAAAGTCTTACATAATCAAAGGAATATTGTTCAAAAATAATTCCCACATTTTTCCAAAACCTGTTTAAATTTAAAAATAAATAAAAGAGAAAAATACATATAATAAATAAGCAGCTTTATATTTCTGGGTATTTGGCAACAGGTCTGTTATAATATTTCTCACATCTCTTGTTGTCAGTTAAAATCACCAGATTAATTAATCGTTATTAAAGAAAAGATTGTACAGTATTATGACAATCCACCATATATAGCCAATGCATTAAATATTCTACACATTATATATTCCTTAAAAAGAATTCATATATTTTAGTCTTTCCTCTGAAAACAGATAGCTTCTGAAGTAATATATCTTAAACACAATGGTATCTGTCACTTCTACTGTTTTTTTTTTATTATTTTTTCTGAATAAAAAGCTTGCTTGAATAGGACTAGTAGCTCAGTGATGGAACTAAGTGCTATTTAACTAAATTCCATACATGTCTTCGTTACTGTTGCTGCAATTATTGTAATCACATACCACTGAAGTGCTAAATATTAGTAACTCAGATATGTGGACTTTGGTTATGCTTGATAGAATACTGGCATATCAAATATATGTACCACTTCCTAAAGGCTATGTTACAATCATGATGCCTAGTAATAAATAGTAATAAATAATAATAAATAATAATTATAATTATAATAGTAACAATCTCAGATTCAAAGTGCTGACTCACTTGAGGCACCAATACAATAAATCAATCAATTAAAAGATCCATTTTTAATGTTCAAAACGAACAGCAGATCCTGGGCTGCCAAGTTACACGTGCAGCACGGAGGACTCTGAACCTGTCCTTCCACAATGGGGATTCCTGTGCTCCCAGAAGACTCTGGAGTATCATGTCTGGTATGGAACGCTCCAAGACACACCAAGTGTTCACACATGAAACATAAAGAGCTGTCTGAGCTCCTCTAAATCCTCAAAAGGCTCTATTAAAACCCCTCAGGCCAGCTCTGCTCACTCGGGGACAAGGCTTTGCCATGAAGTGTGCTTGGCTGCAGACCAGGGAAGAGCCTTTTTATGAAAGTCCACGATGAAATGTGTCACATTAATGCAGCCTTCACAGCCTGGAGACACTGTCAGCTCTGTCAGCAGGGGAGGAGAAAGGCAGTTTTCCAGCAGCAGCACACACCTGTCTCCCTGGAATGGGAATGCTTTCATGTTGTCAGTTTGTTCTGTGCAAGCAGTAGTCATTTTCAGTGTCGAGAGAACTGTTGTACCCCGACGATGGATACAGGTCCCTCTTAAGTATCCTGTTGACGATGTTGATCAGAACTTTTTTGTACTGTTGACGTAAAAGTGAGTAAACAAATGGATCTGATGCAGCCTTACTGTAGGTGAGGCACTTGCTTATAATTCCCCAGTAGTAATTTATGGTAACAAAAGGAATGAGCTCTATCAACCTGTTAAACATTAAAGAGAAATGGAAACACTTGAGTGTTATATTCACACTGAGCCCAGTGCTCAACTAATGCTTCATGAAACATTCAAGTAACATTTATTTTCTTGCAGTACACAGTCCCTGCAGGAGAAGGCTGTGTACTTACTCTTCACATTCAATGAGGGCAAAGAGAACTTTGCTAGCAAGGCAGCAGGGAGACAAAATCAATTCCTACTATGGAGAGAGGGAAAAACTGTTTTCAGTGGTAATGCTTCTGTGCAGAGGAGATAAGAGAGTGCTGCAGTTTACTGCTCACTTTCTGAATTTACTGAGCTGTTCTGGTAAGTGGTCAAAATTGTGGTGACATAATTGACTACCTCTCTCCCACAGCAAGCTTGAGATAGACACATGTGACTCGGGGCACCCAGACTCACTGACCTCAATTTCCTGAGTAGAGCTGTCTAGTGACACTTGAGACATTTAGACATAACTCCATTGGCATCAGGCTGCTGCTCCTGGAAGGTCTGCTTTAGATCCTGTGGCATATCCGCCAGCCCAGGTAAAGGACTTGGATACCATGCAGCATCTCAAATGACACCAGAAACGTGGTCTAGGTCACTGAATCCATCCCCTCAGACACAGACCAGCAAACCTTCATTACACCACCCTGGTGAATTAATACGGATGCAAAGTGGATTCATGCCAGACCACTGTAGTGTGAAGAACAACCTGGCAGTGTCTCAGGGAGGTCTGGCACCTGCAATCCCACAGTATGCTTAGCAGCACACCTACAGCTACTTAGCCATGGAAGTTTTTGTGTGTGTTTAGCTGACTCCTAGATTGGCCAAAGAAAACAAGGAGACAACACTTTTATCATCATTATATGATCAGTCAGCTATGTCCAGACCTGTGTCTCCTGGTCTGTGCTTCACGGATGATTAGTGGCCTCAGCACCTCAGCTGAGAGGGATGTATTAATCATGGGGGCAGAAACCACAACTAAGTTAAACAATTTTTCCACAGCAGTGAGGGCAATTCTTCAGACTATTCCAGCAAATGTCTCACTCAGCTCATCTGCAGTGGGCAAATCCTCCAGGAAGATGGAAAGAACAGGGTGAGGAATTTTTTATTTTGTGTATATCTTTTGTAAAATCTTTTGCAGGAGCAAGAGTATGCTACCTTGCTCTATTCATCCCAGAAGAAAAGAAAATGTTCTGGGAGATAAAATAGCCCTTTTCTGTACTCTAAGACATCATTGTTTGAAGATGTAAGATCAGAAGCTTTCTTGAGGCTTGAAGAACCTTCTGTCCTATTTCCAAAATGCAGAGCTCTCGACTTGCAGGGTGTTGACTTTTGAAGCTGTTCCAGTCCCTCCTCATAGAAAAGCTGACTTACCATCATTTGGACTGAACATTGCTACAAGTGACAGGAAAATTCCTTATTTATATGGCTAAAAGTTAAATAATTCTTATGACAAGTGCATTCAAAAAAAACCAGGTGACTTCTGTTTGAAGCTTCTCAGAAAAAGTTCCAGTGAATTCAAAATAGGTAGAACAGGAAGATACAAAATATGAGAAATAAATGTACGATAAATGATAATTGCTATGTGGTTACTTAGGTTTACCCCATCCTGCCTATCATTGTAATACAAGAAATACATAACTGATATTTACACAATTGATGCTTTTATAAAGACACTAAATAAGAAGAGTAAGATATCTTTCAGTCTTGAAAATAGATGTATTGCTATGTTCCCATTAATGCATTATGGATCCAAACTTAATTGCACTGAAGCCAACAGAAGAAAAATTACACGGATTTTAATAAGATAAAGGGTCTGGCAAAAACAAGTCAGACTTAGAAATACCCATCTGAATGCATCTTGGTATGATTTTCTTTTTTTCAGAGCTGTTGCAAAAGAGATGCAATTCATCTGTTTTCTCTTAGTGAACAGATGAATATATTGCTAATAAGCCTAATCTCATTCAAATTTCTGAAGTGAGGAGCAAATACCGACCTCACAATGCAACCTGAGTCACCAGGCCAAGAGCAAGACAACAGGGAGGATGGCTTTTACATTGTCTCCCCAGAGACTGCTTCAGTGCCACCCCCCTAAAAACCAGAATGAGGGAAGAATAGAGAAACAGACACAGTAGCAAGTCCTCTAATCTCACCTCCATCACCACCTTTCATGAAGTGCTGTCTTGGCACTGTCTTGTCTTTGAGACAACGATCCTTTTAGGATGTTGTCCCCAAATATTTCCCATCCAGCTGTCACTGAACCATCTCAGTCCCTGTGACAGACAGAAGCTGTACCTTGACACACATTTCCACAAACCAGCCCTCACCCTTCTCTGTAGTGATTCAGTAGGTACCAGTTTGTCTCATATAGAAAATGCACCATCTCATGATTGCCAAATGCAAGGTCTGAAGAAGGAAGTAACTTTTATTTTAGAAGTTTATGAGAAATACCTCTGCCCTGAAAAATGTGGCCATGTTTGGAATTTGCTGAGCTTGGTAATGTTCAGATGGAAAGAAGATGACAAAATCCACTTTGCTCAACATAATTACTGATTATGGAAAAAGTGAATAGAACATGACTCAAAATGTACTGAACAATGATAAATTAACCTTTTAACTATGTGATGTAATGTTAATATTTGTAATAATCCTTTCAGCTGCAGGAAAAAAAAAAAAGATGCAGTTATCCAGACAATCAGGAAGGAATCCCTTTCAACATGTAAAACTGAAATAAATGTCACTTTAAAAATTTTTAAAATATTGTCTGTCTAGTGCACTGGCTTTAACCTGTCCCCTACTCCTCTCAGAAAAGGACAGTGACATTGACCATAAATGGCCTGTATGTGTGAGATCAGAGCACTAAAGCTGGCCAATTTATGTGAACTGCTGGGGCTGCAGACACTGGAAGCTTGGTAACAACCTTGAAGAAGCCTTCACCAGGGGGTTTGCATACTAGTTCACCCCCCTTGACACAAGTCAGCAATTTTCAAGGCTGTCTTGAACACACTGTGAAAGTGGGAAATATTTATAAAAATCGCTTGTGAAAGATGTAGCCCATTTCAGTTTAGTGATGAAAGGCTAAATGCAGGGATGCTGTAATTCAGTGTAGTTACACTGACTTCCAGCTGTCTGGTTTATACAGGATTTAAAAATAATAATAATCATCTATTGTATGAAGACTACATAAGTAGATAACAACAGTGATGCATGGACACTTCAAAAGGTGCAAACCACCAGGATGGATACCTATAACTCTGTCCAGCTGAGGAACATAGTGTTTCCTATACATTTAAAGAGTTTAATTATTGTATTTCCTGGGAGATAACTTTTACACCTCATCACAAGTCTGTGCTGCACCATTAGCAATATATTTACAGGCATTAATGTTTCCAGACTGAAATCCTATCTTACAAATTATCAGCCTGGACAAGTTTAAATTATATCAACCTAGCTTCCAATAGCAGCAAGTTTGGCCTTATGCCTAAAAAAACCCAAACCACACAAAAAAAACACAACAAAAAATCTAAGCTAATCAGGAAAGTCTGTCTGTTTTCCTCTCTATTGCTAGGGTTTTCCTAATAAGGGAGGGTGGCAAGTCTTTTAAACTGCTTTTATCTCCCACTGGCATGTAATTAATTCCCGGTACTTGTCCTAAAAGCCACTTTCTTTTGGCAGAGGTGCCCAGACCTGGCTGTGATGAGGGAAGGAGAGCCAGGTCCTGCCGGGGCTGCCCCCTAGGACTGGGTGTGAGGACAGGAGCAGCGTTAGAGTGTGTTTGTGTATGTTTGTGTGCTCTGCCCCTCAAGACCTGTCCCGGGGGTCCGTTTGGCTTTGCCCCCCCAAAATTAACTGTAGGACCCCCGGGCACCTGCGCATCACAGGGCATCCTGATCCCGCAAATCCTATCCCACCCCGACAGGGCATACTAACCTGGTGATAATGTAAGGACCAAAACAGATCACGAACGACCCTATAAAAATACTGATTTTCTTGGTAGCCCGCTGCCTCCTCCTTTTCTGCTCGTTCAGACAGCGCTGCTTCACACTACGGAGGGAAAAGAGTGGTAAGGGTGTTAAGACAAGAAGGGAGGAGGTGAGACGTGAGCCCAAGAAGCCTCTCCACACCCGAAATCCCGAGCTCGGGAAGGGAAAGGGAGAGAGGAAGGCAGCCCCGAGGGGAGAGGAGGGCAGCCCGGTCCGGGGAAAGGGCAGCCCCGAGGGGAGAGGAGTGCAATCCCCGAGGGGAGAGGAGGGCAATCCCCGAGGGGAGAGGAGGGCAATCCCCGAGGGGAGAAGAGGGCAGTCCCCGAGGGGAGAGGAGGGCAGTCCCCGAGGGGAGAGGAGGGCAATCCCCGACGGGAGAGGAGGGCAATCCCCGAGGGAAGGAGGACAGATAGCCCCAGCTCCGGCGAGCCTCGGGACCATCGTACTCAGCAAAGCCGTGACTCCTGCTTGAAGGGAGCTCAAGCAAGTGGGATAACCCGGACAGCCCGATTAACATTTAAACAGAGAAAGCTACAAATGCACAAGCCAGCGTTCCCAGCGCTGTAAGCAGCGTCTGAAACTAGCGGCAGGAGCGCTCTCCATGCGGCCGGGCAGGCAGGAAGGGGTGCTGGAGAGGCGGGATATCGTTTCCGCCCGGGGTAACTACCGCGAGTGACCGGGGAATGTGAATCCGAACGTGCACGCATTACCTGGGGTGGATATCCACCAGCAAAACCAGAGTCTGCATGGTAATAATGTCTATCCGTTTGCAGTGGAACCGGGCAACTTTCAACACCTTTAAGTAGGTGAAACACAAGATCACCAGAGACAGCATGAAACTGGTAGAGTGAAAGACGATGGTGAACACTGTAAACCTTCTCCTCTCCGTCTCTTCCTTCAGGTGTAAGGTGCAAGAGGCATAAACGCTGTTGTAATCTACCCACGAGTAAAACAAGGATACCAAGGGGAACGTGAGGGAGTGGAGCCACGAGTAGCCCATCAGTATCACAGCGTCCTTATACCGCATCTTGCTGGTGTAGCTTAGGGGGAACACCACGGCAATCCATTTGTCAATGCTGAGCGCTGCCATGCTCAGCATTGTGTTGGAAGTCAGGAAAGTTTCCAGGAAACCCACCGCCTTGCAGACGCAGCCCCCGAGGGGTTGCTGGCTCCTCAGGATGCCCAGCAGGGTAAAAGGCATGTTCAGAACGGTGAGAAGCAGGTTGCAGAAAGATAAGTTCACCAGGAAAACCCCGGCGACCTGCTTGCGGATCTCCGTACTGTAGACGAAGCATAGCAGCACCAGGAGGTTGGAGAGCAGAGAGACAACCAGCACCAGCACGAGGAGCAGCGCCAGCAGCACGCCTGCCAAGTCCATCTCTCAGCGGGTCGCCTGGAGCGGGCGAGGGCAGGAGGAAGGGGCCACCCGCGCCGGCACCGCAGCCTCGCCTGCCGCCCGACGCGGCCGCCCGCGCATGGTGCCGGCGGCGGGGCAGGGGCCGGGGACAGCGCCGGGGACAGCGGGGCGCAGCGAGGAGGGCAGGGCGGGCAGCGGAGAGAGGGGCGAGGGGAGAGGAACCGGGCGGCTGGACGGGGCAGAGCGGGAGGACGGGGACAGCGGGGCTGGGGCTCTCTGACAGCAGAGTCAGGCAGAGGGGGAGCGGGGCCCGGGAGGAGCAGAGGCAGGAGCCGAGGGTAGGGGCTCCGCGGCACGCAGCGAACGGATCGGGAGATAGCGGGGAGATGGGGGTACCCGAGAATCGGAGCTAGGGAGCCCGAGGCGCCTGGAGATCGGAGCCAGGGGAGCGGGGCTGGGAGAGCCGGGGGCAGCGGGGCTGGGAGAGCGGGGTTGGAGGAGCCGGGGCAGCGGGGCCCGGCGAGCGGGGCTGGGGGAGCCGGGGCAGCGGGGCCCGGCGAGCGGGGGCCGGGGCGCGGTGCTCGCCGAGCGCTGTCCGCGGTGCTGAAGCGGGCGCTGCCCCGACGGCCGCCCCGCTCTGGCTTCAAGCCGCGGAGCGCGGCCCCCCCGGTGCCCGAGCCCGCGCCCCCTCCGTGCCCCGCCGCCGCTCCGCTCCGCCGGCCGCGAGGCCTCCGCAGGCTCTGAGCATCTTCCCCCGCTGCCCAGCCCCTCAAATACTCCAGCCGCCGAGCCTCCCGCAGCGACTCATGCGCAGACGAGCGGCTGCGAGGCACAGGCTCAGCCAGGGATCGCGGCGTCGGGCTTATCCACTCCCGGATCGCAGGCGAGAGCAGCAGGAAGCCCAACTTTCCTTCAGGAAGGATCAGATCTGGAGATGAGTTCCTGGCAGTTTGATCCCTGCGCCGTGCTCAGGCACACCCTGAGTGCACCAGCTGTATCTGCCGTGTGAAACCCGTTCAAACTCTGGTGTCTGTGCCCCTTGGCAGGCTTTCCCCCGTTCCATCTGAGGGATTGCTTGCCCTTTTCCCCCTACAATGCTTGCTACGATTGCCCTCTGGGTATTCACACCAAGTAGCCAGCAGTGAGGGATGTTTCTCAGTTAAAGACTCCACTTTCAGTGCTTGGGGTCACCAGCTGGCTGAACAAGTACCCCACATCAGGGTGATGCTGGCACACTCTGTGGAAAACTAAAGTGTCTCTCTTTACCATTTTCCAGTCACACTGATAACACGATAGTGTGGTGGTAAGAAAGGTTTTTTCTGTTATCACATTCTGGCAAAAGCTGAAAAGACAGACAAGAAAGACAACAGAAATTTCCCCTCTGCAGCTGTCAGAAATGTGGATCACGTGGCTAATTCCCAAAGATGTCGTGAATCTTTGTCTTAGATTAAAAAGAGAGAGAGAGAGAGAGAGGAAAGAGTCTAAGTTTTGGTGCATCCAAATACTGGTACAGAAAAAAGCTGCCATGTCTAATCACTGTCACATTTTCCAGTTGATCGCCAGAACTGACATGAAGAAAAAGGAGAAGAAAAGGTAGCTTTCCTACTATCCAAAATTGCTATTAATATCCTAAGGAAATACTGTATTGTGTATATTGTCCCTACAGTGTAGCCTTGTCACGCAAGTGTGACCACTGTGTGAATAACTGTAAACAAAACTGCTTGAAAGAGCCTGAAGGCAATGCAGGTTTTGTTGGGCTTTTTTCCCTCAAGAGTAGTTAAAGTTTTGGATCAGGCCCTAATTGAAAAGCTTGCTATGGTAAATTATATGTCTTAAGGAAAGAGCAGAGCAGCAAGACATGAGATGTGTTATTTGGAAGCGAACCAGTACAGTATTATTCCTCAGGATGGAAAGAAAATGAATGTTTTCTTTCATCAGAAAGCTGTCATTTCCAAAGTTTAAAAAGTGCAGATACATTTGACAGGGCTTATGCTTGACGAACAAAAATCCAATATATATCTGTCTAAGCATTTGAGGGAAATCTATAAAAGCATGACAATACCAGTTTTCTCAGAGTTCAATTGTTACATTTCTATCACCAGAGAGCCAAGATAGTTTGGGAAGGGTTGGGAAGAAATGAACCATCGTGGAAGAACCTGGCTGTATCCTTACAGAGCAAAGGTTCTGCAATTACTCCCTCTCTCACAGCAGCAATTCTTACAGTTCCTACTAGACAGAACCCATATATGACCTACATTTCATTTAACAGTGTCACAAGGTTATGGGGCTTTTATGTTAGCCATCTGGGAATAGAGGCTGTGTGAGTAGTGGTGTTAGGTGGGGTAGATGCTATTTTATATCATCACAGAGACAACCTAGATGTGCTGTTTGCTTGCTGATAGCTACCTGAGAAGCTGTTTCCTCTTGGATCCAGACTGAGGACAACTTCTGTCTCTTTCTTTCTCTCTCTCTTCTTCCTTTCTCCCTAAAAGTTGGGCAAAGGTGTTTTGCTATTACTCAGTTTTTGGACTTCAGTTGCAGGAAAANCATACATGCATACATAATTTCTTTCATACAGCTTTTTCAAATGAAGAATTAATTATTTCTCAAAGCTGATGCAAAAGGAATACATTGAAATAAGACAAGAAAATAAACAGGTGGCAAAAAGATGGGAGGAAAAATATTCTGATTTTTTCACATGTACAGTGAGTTGTATTGTACCCTGCAGCAATATTCTGTGCTCAAAAAACCCAGTAGAGATTACTTTGTTTCATTTCTCCTTTTGCTTTCAGTGTAACTTTGTTAATGTGACAAGTTAAACATGCACGTAACTTCGTGTGGGATGTGGGTCCTCTGCTAACCCTTTCCCATTTACAGGCAGCAACCACATAACACTTCACACCAGACACCTGTCAGTCTTACCTGCACTTGTGAGGCTGGAAACAGTCACCTACCAAAAGGCTCAGACTTGCTGTGGTGGGTTTGCAAATGTGGGCAGTGCCTCCTTAGCCCCTGCAAACACATATACTCCTGCTACCTTTTCATATATAAGCAGACATATGCTTATATAATTTCAATGTTCACAGTAGTCATACTAAACACATATTTTTGCAATCAAGATCTTAGAGTATTTATCAAGGATGCTGTCTTGGTGGAAACTGGGGACTGTAGAGACTGCTGCAATACGATTAAGGAAAAAAAAAATAAAGATGTTCTTGCTAATAATTATCCCTTAATAAATATAGGCTATTTAATTACCACAGACTAGGTAAGTACTTGAGACTTTTATCCTAACAGCTGCATCATTCATTAAATCTACACATTCATCTTGTCTAAATATTGACCACAATTTATTTGATTTAATGGTGAAAGGACTGTATTTGTTGGAAAAGATAGGGTAAAATTCAAATTCCTTTTTTAGTTTCACTCCAGGAAAGATGTGTCATGCAAATTTCAGTGTAGATCACAACTGCATATAATTCAGCTCTAATCAATGTATTCTGCAATGGCTAGGAACACATTTAATTTGGTTCTAATTTTAAGAAAACACTGTGAAAGAAGGAAACCTCAAACAAATTATATCAATTAATTTGCAAGTACAGAGGAAAGCAACCCTTTTTGCCTGGTTCTCTTATGACAGGTGAAGAGAGGGAAATTAAATTATTTTAACCAGTATGGGGGGAAATTGAATGACTCATGGAACTGATGTTACAAAAAAAGCTTTTCACTTCTAGGGCACTTGCTAAAAAGTGACCCATTTCAAAAGTGAGTAAGACTGGTTAATACCCACGAGATTTTTCAATATGTCCTGTAAATAGATCTGGTACTGATAGATCCTGACAAGCACAGAGAAATATCTTCTCACTTCCACAATGACTGCAGGTGTGCTATTGTTTTCACATCACATTTAGCTAATGAAGCTTTAGGGAAGTCAGAGTACTTCAAGTCTCAGCAACAACTTTTTTTTTCTTATTATTCTTTTGGCGGTTTTGGGATTTTTTTGAGTTTTTTTTCCCCTCTTTTTTTTCCTATTTTATTAGGATTTGAACTATAGAGTCTTTGAACAAGCAGGGCTACTACACAAATATAGATTTTATTCTTTCTGGAACAATAAGACAAATAAGCAAGAAGACAGTAGTATTGTGACAAGTGACATCCTGTTAGTCTCTAAAGAAAAGATGTGAAGCCTGACTCATCAGTCTAATACAATTCTGAAAGACTGTTCCTGTGGCAGAATTCCAGTAGGCATATTCACCACCTGTAGAATAACTTTATCCAAAAGATCTTCTTAAAATGAAACAAAGAAAAACTCCACATGTGTAAAGCCCACACATTCCTTCACTAGGCCTCTAATTTTCAGGGGAAAAATTTGGATCAGAAATATGAAGCTCAACCATGCCAGAGTTCTGCAAACTGAAATTGCTTCAAAATTGCCTAAGTACTATAATGAGGAATCTCAAGTTCAAGATAATCTTGCAGTTGTATCAAAAGTCTACACCTGCAAAAATCTTTTGAGTCATATTTCTGTTTATGCAAACTAGACATATTCCTACAGTCTGAAAAAATTGATCTCAAAATTATTCCAGAAGACAATATTTTATTTTGAAAGATGGAGGGCAACAGAGCTGGTGAAGGGTCTAGAGCACAAATCTTATGAATGGCTGAGGGAGCTGGGGTTGTTTAGCCTGGGAAAATGGGACACATGGAGAACCTTATCACTCTCTGCAACTACCTAAAAAAAGTTGTAGACAGGTGGGGGTCAGTCACTTCATGTAACAAATGACAGGATGAGGGGAAATGGCCTCAAGTTGTACCAGGTGAGGTTTAGGTTGGACAGTAGGAATAATTTCTTCACTAAGAGGGTTGTCAAGCATTGAAATGGACTGCCCAGGGAAAGGTTTGACACATCATCCCTGGAGCTATTTAAAAGACCTCTAAATATCTCTTAAATGTAGGTGTGACACTGAGGGACGTGGTTTAGTGGGGACTTGGCAGTCCATGGTTAACAGCTGTACTGGATG